GAAAGTTTGGAAAAGTTTGCCTAGCATCATAGAATCATAGAATTCTAGACCTGAAATAATCCTAAAACATTGTTAGTCCACTGGATTGCAGACATGGCTGCACCTTGTACTGTAAATCATCGATGAAACTTTAAAAACTTTTGACACTGAGGTCTCACCCCAGAAATTCTGATTTGTCATCTGAGCTGGGGCCTGGGCATCTGGAGATGTAAATGTCCCCCAGGTGATTCTAATACACAGTCATAGTTCAAGGACCACGATTTAGTCCAGCTCTCAAATTTTACAAGATGAGAATCATCTGCAAATCTGCCCAGGCACAGAAGGAGAGAAACCAGACTTTGCTTACCATTCCAGGCTTTGGTGTGTCTTTGACAACATATGTATAGTACTCTAGAGACCAGCCAAAGGGGTGAGTTTTTGCCATAAAGGTCATGGGGAACCAGTGAAGGTTTTTGTGCAGGAAAATGGCGCTTTAACAACCAGAGGTCCTGCAAATTACAGGTAGGCATCAGAATTGAAAAGAATGAATGCCCTCTGTGGATAAAATGAGAGTTCCTGTGGCCAAGATTCTCACCTCTCCCTGGTTGACTAGCTCACTGCACACCTGTGGGCAATAGCTGGCTGTTGACTCTATATAAAGAGCTCCACCCAGTGCTTTGGGTGCGACACGGTGGCAGGGCTGCAAGGCTGCAGGAGAGCAGAGGACAGAGGACGGCTGTGTGGACAGAGGGGCCCAGAGACAGAGACCGACTTGCTGCACTCAGACTCACTCTGAGTGAACGGGATTCTAGTGACTGACCTGCCACCTGGAAATAAAGTTGGGTATAACCCTTTCACCCCAAGAACGTTTTGCTGTCATTTTCTTTGGTCACAACTGAATCCATAGCGAACTTGCCAGGGGCTGAAACCCATTGACAAGACACCCTCTAACAATGGCAGGAGAATGACGCCACCCAGGTGCTCTCTCTCTGAAATGTAAGTTGCATGTTTGTATTTTAAATTTAGAAATAATATTGTGATAATGTCTGTGTTATATTCAGGTAAGTAGAATTGTGCTTTTCTACCTTTGTGTCTACTTCACAGTTCTAGAAAGAACTTTTTTTTCTGGCCAATTAGCTCTCATTTTTACATTTTTATTTGATTTTCTCCTCAGCTGTACAACTAAGTGTTTTCTGTTTTCACTTCCTTCTTAATCTTTTCTCTCCTTTCCCTCTTCTACAATCAAGGACATTCGTTAATTGCTCACAATATGCTCATGCATATTTATAGACCCACACCTCCCTATCCCTTTATTATCCCTAGGGCAGAGTTGTCCAATAGAAACATAATTTAAGCCACATACGTAAAAAGAAACGGGCTAAATTAATTTCAACAATATATTTTATTTAACCCAATATATCATTTCAACATGTAACCAGTCTAAAAAATACTTATGTCTTACATTTTTCATTTTAATAGCAAGTCTTTGAAATCTATATTTTACAATTACAGTTACACTAATTTAAATGCTAAATTTTCAAACTTAAGAAATGTCACACAATCAAGTTGGGTTTCAGGAAGAGGATTTTATCCTGCTTCAGATTTTAGGTTTGAATGAAATAAAACTTAAAATTCAGTTCCTCAGTTCACTAGGTCCCTTGGCCTAGTGGCTCCTGTATTGAACAGTGCATGCCTAGGATTTTACATGGTGGTATTTTCTCATTTTGTGGTTGGGAGGGTACTAGGCTCATTTTTAATGAGTTTGAGTACTTACTGAGGAATTTATTTTCCTTAGGAGTATTTGAGGAGGCAAGGTATGAAACAGATGATCATAAAAACAACCTAAGTTTCTCTGAACCAAGATACAAAATTTAGGACAAGGAGGGCTAGGCTATTACAGTTTAGGAAAGGATATGGGGAGGAAAAAAGGCAGGTTTGGGTGACACCCCTAGTGGAATGCTATTTCAAGATAAAGAAATTCTATAGTCACCAAGTGGCCAAGAGCAAAAAGATGTAACGTATGCCAGAATAGTGAGAGAGAAAAAGTTGAACAAAAATGTGGATTTGTATCTCTCAGAGGAGTAGGAGTATTGCTTACATAAAGTGCTAATAATGTATTTTCATGGAGCTTTTCCCCTAAAGAACTCAGGATGGCATACAAATGATTATTTGATTTTTATAAGCAACTTTGCCCTGGAAAAAAATTCCTAAATGTCTTAACACTAAGTGGTAGGCACAGTGGAGATAATTTATTTTAATTTTTCACCCACCTCCTTCTCACCCAGTAACTTCCCACAGAGCAATTGAGGGCATAATCCATAGTGAGTTTGCATTGTTCTTATACACACTAGACTCAGTGTAAAGCAATATAAGTTCTCTAATCATCTACTAATACTCAGCCTTAAATTGGTCATGCATCAGGACATCAACAGCAGTGGGCAGGCAGGTTGTAAGGGCCTCCAGGACTCTGTTCTGATGGTCAGCAGCTGTGTCCCATTGTTGTTTATTTTCACTATCTCCAAAATACAAATGAGATGGGCTCCTACCTTTGATGAAAACACACTCTAGGAGGGGCTCTGGGCATGACAGGAGAGAGTGAGGAGGGAATGAAGGAGTATGCTTTGTGGGAGGAGGACAGCGAAGCCCCCAGCTAAGGTGGGGCAGGAAGGCTTTACCAAAGGCTTGCTCTGTCTGTAACTGGTCGGGTGGGTGGGTGCACCCCAGATAATCATTGAAGTTCCTTATGTCTCTTGGTTTTTTTGTTCTTTCTGCCTCAACCTGGTTCATGACTCTTCTAAATCCCCACAAGAGCTTTATAATTAAGTGGTCCTCATTATGATTAAGTTGTAATTAAGTGTACTAACTGTTCCAGAATCCATTCTGTGGCTCCCTTACTCAACAACCTTTAGTAGCTCTCTATGGCCCCATCTCCTCATTGAGGCATCCACAACATGCTTTGCAGCCCCAGCCTCTGTTTCTAGCCTTTTGCACTGACTATAGGTGCCTGCCAAATTAGATGTTCCCCACACTGGACCCTGTTGCTCCTGTTGCTTGGAACTTGTGGATCTTATCTTAGGGTTTTTCAAACACCCTCCTCTAGTACAACTTCCTTCTCCTTTCTCATCTGTGCTCCTTCCCTTCCCAGCCTTTTCTCTCACCCTAAGATCAATACATGGGGTGATGTGTTCTAATAACTAACATACATTGATAGCTTATCATACACCAGGCTGTTCTGAGAGCTTTGTGTTACCTTGTTTTATCCTCACAATAACTCTACGAGGTAGGCAGAATTAGCATCTCTGTTGTCAGATGAGAAAGACCAAGGCACAGAGAGGTGAAATAACTTTCCAAAGGTCACCCAGCAAGTAAAAAGTGGGACTGGGATTCCAGCACAGGAAGCTTGTTTTCAGAGCCTGTGCTCTTTACCTGTGTTTTATACTGGCTAATATCTCTAAAAGAGAAAACAGAAGGAAAATTTTCTCATGTTATTAACTTAAAATATATTGCTTTTGTGATTATTCATGTTCTGATTTGATCTCTTTAAGAGCTGAAAACTCCTAAAGGGGAGGAATTCTGGGTTTCCTGGACTGGTGTCTTAGTTACATCAGTAAGTTGTGGGCAGAGGTAATTGAGCCCCCACATCCTTTAGAGGCTTCCTGGTTGTGAATTGGCCATAATCAAGCCCACCCACCACTAGTATTTCTCCTAACTAATAAACACACCACTTTTCCCCTGGTATAGGATCAAGCCAAGAGTTCCACATGGACGCCAAGAAAGATGTGTTTGGTTTTGTGTTTCAGACTGTGGCTGAGAGTTATTACCTATCTTCTGTATAACTGAGCAGATACATATATAATTTCTCCCTTTTAGAATTGGAGAAACTAAAGTGTCCTGTAGTTGTTCATCCAGAGTCATCAGGCAGGTCTGTGGTGGAGCTTAGGTGGATTGACTTGAACTGACTCTCAGGAACTGAGTCCAGGGCCCCTGCACACCCTCGCAGTGATTCTGCACCAAGGCCATGTAGATGCTTGGCCAACAGCTCAGTAGATGGACTGAGTTGTTAACTGACCAGCAAATTCTGGAACACTATTCCCCTGTATTTTTACCTTGACACAAAATAAAATTATGACATCATCATGGGAACACAGGACTTCTCTATTTGTATTTTTAGAACTTGCTAGGTTTTTCCAGGGTGGACTGGTCAGTCCTTGTGATGAAGAGAAATCATTGTGGAGAATCTGTACCACCTTTCATTATGACCCATGTGACAACTGTGTTTATTCTAGAATCCAAAGAACAAAATAATACATGCTGGTTTTAGTGGAGAACCACTAAATTTGTACTTAGATACAATTCCTTGATAAGCAGCCACAAACTTAGGAACTTTTAGAACCCCCTTTTTTCTTCAGGGTTAAAATTGACAGATGCTAAGAGTGTGTATGATTCTAGGGGGCAAGGGACTCATCCCATTTTAATGTATGCTAAATATTTTGTAGTAGTGCTATTTGTTACCCAGGGTATCCTTTGCCATTTGGATAACATCTCCATTCTGCCAGGGTGGCTGGGAGCTTACAGGTGTGTGCAACCTTGGATTTGCGGGTGGGGTGGCGGTGGGGTTGATCAGGGAAGGATTGGGACTTCATTGCAGAGCAAAGTCCACCACCATACTCAGATGAAAGTTCGTGTGGTTTAGTTCGGTTTGGCTCTGACAAGGAAGCATACCAGGCAGAATCTAACTATTAACAACACTGCGGCTACGCCCCCTCCCCATCAACCGCCTTCGGAGCACAGGCCCCCGCCCGCTGGCCGCTATTGCTTGTCTTCGCCCCCTTTAAGAGCCTGCTCCGCGGGGCTACCTTTCGAACAGCTCTGGCGCCCCTTCTCGGCCTCCGATTGGCCGTGTGCGGTGCACGAGGGCGCGCCAACCCGCCCCGAACGGTTGGTAGCCCTTTGCGATTGGCTGTCGAGGTGTCTTATAAAAGGCGCCGGGCGGACCGGCGGCCTTCAGTCTGAGACGGGACTCGGCTTGGTTGTTTGCTGGTTTGATACAGACGCGGCGGTCAGCGAGCACGACACCGGAGTCGTTCATCTTCGGAGTCCGCAGGCATCGAGGGTCCACCCCTGGGACGGACTTATTGCCACCTCTCGTCACCTCCCAGCACCCGGACGTGAGCCTGGACTCACCCCCACCTCGGCGCCAGCCCCTGAGGAGGCAGGATGGAGTTCAAGCTGGAGGCTCACCGCATCGTCAGCATCTCCCTGGGCAAGATCTACAACTCGCGGGTCCAGCGCGGCGGCATCAAGCTACACAAGAATCTACTGGTCTCGCTGGTGCTGCGCAGTGCCCGCCAGGTCTACCTGAGTGACCCGTGCCCCGGCCTCTACCTGGCCGGTCCCTCGGGGACCCCGGCGGCGCCGCCTCAGCAGCCCGGAGAGCCGGCGGCCGGGCCACCCGCGGGCTGGGGGGAGCCACCCCCGCCGGCCACCGGCGCCGCCTGGCCGGAGACCGAGTCGCGGCCGGAGCGTCCTGCTGTCCCAGAAGCGCCTTGGGCGGGTGACTCGAAGCCCGCGGCCGCGGTGACGGGCGCCGCGGACACTCTTGAGAGCGGTGAGGCGGAGGCGGCGGAAGCTGCCGGGAGCCGCGTGGAGGGACGAGCCGGGGGCCCTGCCGGAGCCTCGGACGTACTCCCGGAGAGTCCCCGGGCGGCGCGCCGCCCCTGCGGCTGCCCCTCAGGAGCGGACGACAGGCCGGCGGCGCTGAGCGCGTCTCCCCGCGCTGACTGCTGCTGCGCGCCGCGGCCCGCGGGGGACGAGCCCCTCGCGCCGCCCGCCACCTGCCCCCGGAAGCGCGGCGCGGCGGGGGCGGGTGGCGGCCCCGCGGGCTGCCTGGCGCCCTGCTCCACCCCGCTGAAGAAGCCCCGCCGGAACTTGGAGGAGCAGCCGGGCGGGGCAGTGGAGGAGGAGGAGGAGGAGATGGAGACCGGTAACGTGGCCAACCTCATTAGCATCTTCGGTTCCAGCTTCTCGGGACTCTTACGGAAAAGCCCCGTGGGCGGCCGGGAGGAAGCCGAGGGAGAGGAGAGCGGGGCGGAAGCCGCAGAGCCTGGGCAGATCTGCTGCGATAAGCCGGTGCTGAGAGACATGAACCCTTGGAGCACTGCCATCGTGGCCTTCTGAGGCCTTGGGCCCCCGTGCGGGAAGGCGGTTGATCCGTGGGCGTCCCCAGCGGGAGGGCTGGGTCCCTCCTGGCTGCCGGGACGCCCCGACACCCCAGGCACTGAGCGCGCTGGGGAGACTGGGGGTGCTGCCGGGCCGCGAGCGGACTGCGCTTGGGTTCGGCGGCCCTGCTACGCTGTGCCTCTGGTCTCCTGAGACTTGGGAGTGAGAGGCTGATTGGAAGAGGACCGTCATTAACTTTTGTGTCTGTGTATGCCCGTGTATGTAAGTTTGTCTTGTTGAGTTCAGGCTGTTTGTCCTTCTGGAATGCATCACCCCTTTCCCAGGGCTTAGGAGACTGGGGGCAGATTGGGACTTTCCTCCGCCGGCAGCACCGAGAAGGAAGTGGCTGAAAGGGCCGGGGAGTTCCCCACTGGTTCTCGGGGCAGGAAGGGACTTCACACACACCCGCACTTGAAAGCTAGAACCGCACGCACTAAGTCCTGGAGTGGCGTTTTCTCACAGGATTTCCTAAGACTAGAGGGATTTTGTATGGAGTACAGACTTAAATTATTTCTCTCCTTCCATGCCTTTTTCTGGCACAGAAGAAACGATTATACCCTGTGATTACCGTGGGAAAGGGGGATGTTAGCAGTCCCATCTCCACCACAGGGAAAAAAAGTTTGATGAACTTCACGGAAGAGTTCAAGCTTGGAAATACGGAGTTAATAGAAAAAATATATTTTTAAAAGCTCTAAATGAGAACGACTGCACAGTGCTTTCAAAAAGTGTTTATGAAACAAAGTTTACAGACAGAAGCCCTAAGTGGAAAGACCCTGTGGTTTTGTAGATATGGTGACTCTGGTCTTTGTTGTATAAAGGTTGGGGTTGCCAACAAGGTTTTTGTACAGTATTTTCTCCTTCGTTGTATTGACTTTTGTATAAAATGTAACTTTACGTGTCTAACACGTATTAAATATTTTGAAGCGACTTTCCTGCCTCGTCTGGAATCACCTGTCTGGGTTGGGAGGGAAGTGGGAGGAGGGGAGCTGTGGTCAGGGCTGGTAGAGTGTGGTTCTTAATATCAGTCATGCACAGGCTGGGGACGTTGGTGGCTGACTTCACTAAGTATCAAGAGAGACACGTTTAAGGTTTCTCGCCCAGATCAGAGGACTGCTATTAGATACTAATATCAGTGGCCTGCCTGTTTCTTGAAACCTGTTACTACAACAGACTTTTCTAAAGTCAATTTAGGCCAATTGATTTTTTTACAGCCCAATCTACCTGATGGTGTCTGTATTAAATAACTTCAGCGTTAACATTTGAAGCCCTTCCCATCCACAAAAATGTCTTTCACTAAAACTTTCTTTCAGTCTCCTGTGAAACGGGGCAACATGGGTCATCTTTCAGCTTTGGTATTGAAAAAACCCGACATAGGAGGGAACACTGACTTGCCTAGCTGGCCAGGTTCACCTTTCTTTGTGTTCCAGTTGAACGTCAGGGTGGAATTCTGAATGCTTTTTTCTTTCATTGTTAGAGTAAATGCATCAGTGAAAGGCAATTGCTTGTGTGAAGCTAGGTAAGGAAGGAGGACTAGGCAAATTTAACTTAGCAAAACTTACTGATTGGCTTTTGTGTTTGGGTCATGGTGAACACTTGAGTGATGACAGCCAAGTCAGCCATTGATTTTACTAAATGGCTGTTTTCTTTATTAAGGTATGATTGATATACACTCTTATGAAGGTTTCACATGAAAAAACAATGTGGTTACTACATTTACCCATATTATCAAGTCCCCACCCATACCCAAATGCAGCTAAATGACTGCATTTTAAGACAACCTTTTGTCTCTGTCAAAATGTTCAATATTTGAAAGGTATTCAGTCTATTTCAGAAGCAAATCAGAGAATGGTGCCTTAAAATGTAGTTGCTAGCACTATAAAATATGGTGTACTTATCTGTAACAGCTTATGAATAAGGAGGGTGTTTAAGTGATGGGAGGAACAGAGGAAACTAATGAGGTCTTGTAAAATTGACTTGTTTTTCTTTCAGAGCCACAAGAAATCCATTGAATGCTGACTGCTTAAACTGATGAAAGTGTGTCCAGATCCTTAATTTTGCAAACATTCCTTGTTGCTAGAAAGTAATGATTATGCTTGAACAGCTACCCTAGTGCATCTTTACATTTGAAAGGGGGTAATGTTTGGTGTGTTTAAGAGAGTTGATACATTTGGGATGAGAGTAAAATTCCTGTTGATCCTTGATTTTACATTAAGATGAAGGAGGGGACCGTGTGTCTACTTAATTTAGAGAATGTAAATGGACATACTTGTTCGGCAGATACAACTTTGCAGAAAATCAGAAAATATCTTTTTTTTTGTTGTTGCAGAACTGTTGCAGAAGCAGTATAGTAAAATGGTTAGAGTCCAGGCTCTGGAGCCAGATTTCTTGGGTTTGTAACTTGGCTTTGCCGCTTTTTAGCCAAGGGCCCTTAGACAAGTTATTTAATCTCTCTGTGCGTCAGTTTTTTCAAATGTGAAATGGAGAAAATGATACCTAGGGTTGTGAGAATGAGTTAATGTCCCTAGAGTTCTTAGAATAGTACACAGTGATCATGCATAGTAAACACTGAATTGTTGTTGTTAATGTAGAAGTGAATTCTGTGATTGGTCGAAGAATTGTGTATATTTTATATTTGTGCAAAAGGAGGGGAAGGGAGAATATTTTAAAATTATGCTGTCTGGGAATACTGGGTTCTTTTGTTCTGTTTTTCTCTGAACACTTAGCAGTCAAAACTTAGTTTCATCAGCACAGTTTTTGCTGTTCTTTATGTATCACACCAACCCTGTGACTTTTCTGATTGTATCAGAATACTCTACTTTCAGGGAGGAATAAGCAGGAGCAAAGCACTCCAGGAGCAAAGATTTTGTTGACATACAAATGCCTTCTGTGGATGAGAAGAGAAAAAATAGTCCAGAGTTATTTTTAGTCTGAACTGCTTGGGCATAGAATGTTTCTTAAGCTGTGTTAATTGATAGGTCCTGAAAAAGAGCCTTCGTAATGCCAGGGTGGGGTTATTACATACAACTAAATCGGATTCAGTGTGATTAGAAATGAAGCTACAGTTTAGTTCCTAACTACTTCTTGACCACTCTGGGAGGGAATTATTGATCAAATTAACCTTAGCTCTGGTCTGGAAAAAAAATTTGGGAGACTTCCATGTAGAAATCAAAGTGCTTTTTGACAAATACTCCAAGAAGATCACATTAATAGTATAAAAAAGGGGATACATTTTAGTACAAAACTTGTCAATCGTGTCACTTTAAACCTGTCTTCTCAGAAACCATTGTCTCTACTTGGGGAAAGGAACTAGTGGTGGAAAGCTTGAACTGCCGTCTAGAGTGACGGTTTTCTCTAAGGCAACTAATGGGGGTAATAGTAATCCTTCCATTCGTCACTGATTGGATTTTGATATGTATGAGAAGTGGAAGGGAATGGGCTATTTAACAACTTTGGTAAAGTGATTCTCAGAATAAAGATTAACAAATTTTGGGAACAATTAATGACAGAACTCTATTTTGCTGCTACGTTAGTCTTGAGTTCCTTACTTCAACTTACTAGGCATGACAACTCTACAGCCTGTGAGGTGGGGTCGAAAGGTTAATACTCACTGTGACATGGAGTTTGATGGACATTTATTTCCTAACACTTTTTCAAAGTAGAGTTAGTTCACTGAATAACCAAAAACTTCTGATCTCTTGCCCTAAATATTTTATTCTTGTCCTGCTTGTGAATTTTTTATTCTCCTAGACTTGCTTTTATCTCAGCAGTTACTGAAAGAAGACAAGAATGAAAAAGAAACACTGATTCAACCCCCTGACTGTGAAAGAAGTCATTACTATCAGATGCAGAACTCCAGTGGGGAGTGAGGTCTTGACAACGGGCACTCTTTCCAGTAATGAGCAGTTTGTCTCTCAGCCTTTGAACCACTGTTCAAATTTAAAATTCTACCCAGTGGAAAGCCTTGGGAGGAAAAACGTAGTAGAAGCAGCGCTGACGTTAGGAATCCTTGTGATCTTAACTCATGCCCTCAGAGTTATTCAGTAACAATTCTTGAGACTACAATAGAGAACAGAGTATGTGACAGCAGAAGGTGTAAAAGGATACACACCTCCGCAGGGTACCTCTTTCCTGACCCAAACAGTTTCTCCTTGCCACCACCCTCCTCCTGCAGAGGGTTTTAAAAAATCCCTCTCTACCAATTGCTCTCTCTCCCTGGGGAATATAGCCCAAAGCATCTTTGCTGGACTATCTCCTGGGGTTTATCTCAGACCTTTGGAATTCTACCTTCAGGGAGGGAGAAGCCTCCAGGGACTGCATTTCTAAGAGGGCCTCTCCCTCTCCCCACCTCTCCTGGACGCCTGCTTGCTTACTGGCAGGTGAGAAAGTATTGGCTATTGGCCTTTGAAAGCTGTGGAAGAAGGCTGGTCCCCATCACTCTCAACCGAGCATCTCAAGCAGGTGATTCCCTTGGGGGACTGGCGTGAAGTAGACCTGTGCATTTGTTGGTAATTCTACTTATTTAATAAAGTTTTCTGGGACCTGGTCACAAGAAGCCCCTGTGCCTGCATGATACAGCATACTGCTAACTTGCAGGAGAGGATAAAGGTGCGACTCAGTTTCTCCTTTCCCACTCCCTTAGCACCAGTCAGCCCTGGGCTCAGCCCTCTGCTTTCTCCCTATGAACTGGGCCTCTGCCAGGCTGCTCCAGCCCAGTCATTCCACTAGATGCCAAGGCAAGGCTTCTTTCAGTTTTTCTAGAACTCAGGGATGTGCCAAAAGCCATATGTGCCCACCTGCTTGTTCTTTGACCCATCTCACTTCTCAAGTCTTGGGGCAGGGCAGCTGCTGGGAACTTGCTTTCTCTGAAGTAAAAGAAAACCATTCTGTTCCTCTGCTCCAAGCACTGGAGTTGTCTCTAGGTGCAAGGTTTCCTTTGGTGGCTCCCTATACTTCATCCCTTTCCTGAATCCAGCGTGTCACCCATTAGGGTTTTTTCTCAAGTTGATCCACATCTGCTTGGCTATTTCTTTCTAGCCAGTCACAACATCACCCTGACCTCTGTAACAAAGATACTTCCTTCAGTGCTATAGTCGTTTGTCTTTCCATCTCTGCCTGGGCCTTTCTAAGTCTCTTCTGCCTCCTCCCTCCACCCTCTCCTGAGGATGCTCCCATTCATTGTTTGCCTGGGGAACAGTTTTGGCGCTCAGGGAAGAGCTGTGATTGGCAGTGCTACGCCCACTAAGGAGCAGGGTTGGATTTCTTGACCTTGAGACTTGCAGGGTCTCCAGAGACACTAGCCCCTGGGATCAAGCCACAGCTGTGGTGGCTGGTCATACCATCCCTGTGCCTCCCCCATCCCCAATTCCATCATAACAGCAGGGGGTGGGCACGGGAGTATCCATCCAAGAAATAGGAGCAGCTGCTGAAAGCCAGGCTGGCTTGTGGCCAGGTGGAGGAAAGGAGCAAAGCCAGGGGAGTCCAAATGGCTCCGCAGCATTTCTGCTCCCCCTTCCTTTGCTGGAACTGCATGTGCCGCTTTCTAGAACAGTTAATGAACCACAGAGCTGCTCTGATGGACAAATGGGAAAGCACCTCTCTGCCTTGTCTCCCCCTCTGGGCTTTGATTGATTAATAGAAACTTTTTATGGTGAGTTACCAGAAGTGGGAGTGGGGGAATAGTTATAAACCCCTGGAGTCATGCAACAGAGGTGACCAGCAGGAAGTGAGCTAGAGGATGGGAAGGGATCACTGTGGGGGGCCAATAATGGGGCGTGGGTTGGCCACTGAGTCAAGTTCTCCCACTCAAGATCTGCTGGGGGCCAACTGAACGCAGGGCAGGAGTTCCCCACCAAATTTCTAAGAAGTGTCTCAAGCTGTACCACAGCCTCCTGTCCTCTTCAGACAATTTCCGGTATTTATTTTTGATTT